CAGCACCCAATTAACTGCCTCATACCTGACCCCACCCCATAACAGTTGAACCCCACTCATATCTGGGCCCACTCCAATCTCCCCCCACTCCTCCTCCACAACACTCCACCACACTCCTGAAACCTGACCCACCCTCCCCCCCTCACTCACCTGGCTGCCTCCCTACCTCTTCATCTATCTACCTGGTACCCTATGCTCTTACCAACTTACCTGCCCCCTCCAAACCCCCTCAGCCACTCACTTGTAACTTTACTTCCCTCGTTTACCTTACACACTACTCTTCCTGTCAAAGAAGCTTTGGGCCTTTAAATCTGGAACGCAGCAGGTACTGCTGTAAATGAGGGGTGTTTGGTCTCCAGTGCTGACCCAGCACTTTGCTGGAAGATTTCCCAAACAGGAATGTTCCACATTTCTGATGAGGTCTGAATCAGAAGTTTGGGCCAGATTTCCAGGGCAGTGAAAGTAAAAAGGAACAGAATGACAATCTAAGATAACAAGATGTAGAGCTGGATGAACACAGCAGGCCAAGCAGCATCAGAGGAGCAGGAAAGCTGACGTTTTGGGCCTAGACCCTTCTTCAGAAATGGGGGAGGGGAAGGGGATTCTGAAATAAATAGGGAGAGAGGGGGAGGCGGATAGAAGATGGAGAAAGGAGAAGATAGGTGGAGAGGAGACAGACAGATCAAAGAGGCGGGGGTGGAGCCAGTAAAGGTGAGTATAGGTGGGGAGTTAGGGAGGGGATAGGTCAGTCCAGGGAGGACGGACAGGTCAAGGGGGCGGGATAAGGCTACTAGGTAGGAGATGGGGGTGGAGCTTGAGGTAGGAGGAGGGGATAGGTGGGAGGAAGGACAGGTTAGGGAGGCGGGGACGAGCTGGGCTGGTTTTGGGATGCAGTAGGGGGAGGGGAGATTTTGAAGCTTGTGAAGTCCACATTGATACCATTGAGCTGCAGGATTCCCAAGCGAAATACAAGGTGCGGTTCCTGCAACCTTCGGCTGGCATCGTTGTGGCACTGCAGGAGGCCCAGGATGGACATGTTGTCTAAGGAATGGGAGGAGTGGCCAGCTAGACAGTGGGAAGGCTGCAGTCAAACAAGCCAGCGGGGCAGAGTAAAATCCAGCCCTGTGAATCAATGGGAGCACTCTGACACTCTGCTAACAACTATAGACATTTGGCCCATCTCTCTGGTATAACAAGCTGGCATTCACTAGAAAACTGCAGAGCTGAGACAGCAGGGGGCAAGAACATCTGTAATTCCTGGCCCTTAGAGAGGAGTTGCTTTTGTGCATCATAGGGCCCCCTGAATAGGGGTCTGCAACATATGACATTGCTGAGTTCATTAAAGATGATGACATTGTCTCGCCTTTTCCCTCCTTCCAATTTCCAGGGCATTCTCATCCTGTTACCTGACATGATGAGCAAACTGATTGCCATGATCATGAATTTTTTGCTTCCTACCCCAATCCCTTTCTTCAACACCTTCCCCCTCTGAGTTTCAAATGCCCAAGAAAGGCCACCTGAAGCAGCAGCACAGCTGATTAAGGAGGGAAGGAGCAAGCAACTGAACAACACTGATGAAGTGGCCCTGGTATTTGGAACTACACTTACCCTGAAGGCTGGAATAGACTTGGATTTAGCACACGGTGAGCCATTAGACATTGTCAGCTCACCAAGTGTGAGGTGGCAGACAAATACTGTTGCAGACGACTCAAGTAACAATCTAAATGAAGTGGGATGCAGGATAGTGTTAAGGCATACAGTTTCCCATTTAAAACAGAGGTGAGGTTTTTTTTCTCTTTCAGAGAATCATTAATCTTAATTCTTTACCATAGAGATAAATGGAGCTTGAGGCATTGAATTCAGGGAAGGGTGAGAGAATTAATTGTTAAAGAGGGCAGATGGGAAAGTGGGGTTAAGGCTATGATCAGATCATGATTTTATAGAATGATGGAGCATTCTCAAGGGACCAATTGGCCTTGCCCTATTTCCATTCCATTATGTTTTAATTACACTATTTTCTCTCTATAAGAGGCAAATGTAGTCATTAATTTTGGCATAAATCACCTCTTACTATATCCTGGGTATATTTTGGGCTTATAAAAAGGACCTTCCTATATCTGCTAGATGAAGTTTACCACTGCTGGAGAGAAGATACAGAGAATTCTCTTTTAATGAATGAAGAGAAGCTGCATGTAACAAAGACCAAGAAAATTTATAACGACGTATGTCTGTAAGCCTCTTATAAAGCTGAGATTCAAAGAAAATCCTCTTTCCAAGCAATTGACAAAACTGGTTGATACACATAGCAAAGTTTCAGTTCTTTTCTTGTCAATCATTTGTAATAATCACACAAATCCTTAGAAGATGTTAAATTTAATGTAACATGGATATCACGTTCTACATTTTGTCCCCTATCACTTCAGTCTTCCTTTCAGAAGAAGGTTCTACACAGATCAAGATAAAGTGTGATACTTTCATGTCCCAGTAAGAAGCCAAGTGCAGTACTCAATGTTTGTTGTCCTCATAACAAGGGAACGTTCTCACATCACAATCTATATGGTTTTGGTTTGTTCCAATTTCTAAACATTTTTTCCCAGCATTGCAATTACCTACTGACTCCATATTGTATAACCATTGCATTTTGATCTTCTATGATATCACACGATATATACAGTATGTCCCGTCCATGTGATTAAATGGTTCTGGGAGGGGTCGGTAGTAATTATTTAATCCTGGTGATTCAGCCAACATGGTATAAGCAGGCTTGATGTTATTTTCCTGACTGCGAAGCTTGTATGTTCACAATCAAGTGACACACTTTCCTCTATTACAGGCAACAACAGACATGCAATTTGACTTAAATATTCTCTTGTGTATCTGAATATTCTTTCAGCTTATAAAAGGCCATGTCATCTCCTTTAGATCAATGTTACCACAGAGATGGAGAAAACAAACAGAATACCCTCCTTTAACTAATCAGATTAAACCTATTTTGAGAGCATAGTTCAAGCAATTTACAGGGCAATTTTCACAGAAAATAGTGTTGATTTATAGAAAATGCTGGATTTGTATTAATTAACAGTTTGATTTTGGAAAAAAGAAGTGTTATGAAAGATTATTACCACTAGTAAGGTGATTATGTCTATGAAAAGTTGTGTGGATGCTCACAGAGTTTTAAGTCTGCTCTCTCAATTCACTGCATCAAATTACGTTTGACCAACATCTGTCAGTAGCATCCCTAGGACCATCAGCACAATACAGTGTGTCTCAAAAATCCTCAGTCTAGATAGGATCCTCGTTTGAAAGAAAAGAATGTGTAATTGCACTGAGTGATATTGCCTGTTCTTGTGAATGTAGCAGCGAATGCACTGAGATACCATTATTGTCAATTGAAATGTTTAGGAATGACCATTAAACATAATGCATTCAGGTTATTCTGCTGCTGTTTTATTAAATTCACCCGTTTTATTTGGTCTTCTCTGTGATTCTGCAAAAGGGGTTTTTGAAGTCTCTGTATCTTGTCATAACCGCTCAAGAGAAACAGAAGGCTGTGTTGTAAACAATGCAGGATTAGCACGGGGGTGAATGATTAATTATGCCACTGCTGTCAGTCGTGGAATGAATGTAAGTTGTGCTGTAATAAAGGAATTTTTATAAAGCAACATGTGGTAGATTTCCAGATAGTGTTTTATTCAAATAAATCTCCCAATGATTTTTGCACAGATGAAGCAAATCAGCATTAATGGCAATGAGGAAAGATAGACCTATTTGCAGGTTGTGAAGCTGTTTTCCAAGTTGATAGGCTTTGTTGAGGTCTTTCCTTTCCTTCTTCATCAATTAACATTCCACTTCTAGATCCTCCAACCAGTTAGGGAACAAGCACACAATGACATGCAGGATCTGTCAAAGAAAAGATTTGTAATTAACGGAACATGGGTTGCAAAGGCTCACCAACATTTGTACATTTAAAGCTACAGTGACCACAGGAATGGAGAGGAGAGCTAGGAAAGCTGTTAACTGGAAACCTTACTGTGGGTTCTGAAGATCTGCAGTGACGTGAGCTCTCCAAGGCTAGAAGTTCCCAGACAAGTGAGCAGCCGGGGCTTGAGAATGGTCCTCAGCTGATATGTACCTTTCTGGTCACTGGCGAGGAATGAAAATCTGTTCCACTGAGAAGCTCATCTCCTTCAGGAGGCTGAAGATCGTAGCAATGACCTTTTCGGAGAACCTAAGCTTCTTGAGGCACCGATGGTAAAACTAGTTGAGATGGTTGATTTTCTGCCTGCAGTCCCCTCCATCTGGGTTTTTATTTCTCCTCTGCCCTGTGAAGGGGCATGTGACAGAGGAGAAAGCAATTAGTGCAACTGATGCTGCTGGTGCTGATGGTATTGGCCTTGCTTCTCTTTGCATTTCGTAATCTTCCTATGTGGCTTCAAAAAGCAACTGAAACATCTTCACTAAAAACGCAACTGGAGAAATGTTGTAAAAAAATTACCAGATAAGTCTCAAATCTATGATAAGTGACAAACTAGTTGGCCTTTCCTGAAAATATTTAAGTGGTAATAAGAGAAGACTTGCTCTCTGCCATTATAACTAGTTCACTAATTTAATCATATGCATGCTAGTTGCATTTTTGACTGATTAGCTTCTTACAATTATTAGGCGTTACAACAAAAACAATGTACTTTTTAACTCTTCATTAACAGTTTAATTTCTTTGATTTACTCAGCATCCATTTTTGTCTGATTATGCCTCTGTAAAGCACCTTAAAATGCTTTTTACATGTGAAATGTTTTATTTCATTTTAAATTCCTGCTTGAACATTATCCCTGACTAAAAAAGAAATCTGAAACCTTTCAACCTTTTTTTTGTAATATAAATATATTTCTGAGGAAAAGTGAGGAATTACTGATCGGACTTTTTTTTCATGTCTAGTCTGTTGGCACGGAGTGAATGCACCATATTTTTGCTTGATTCATAATGCTTTCCTCCTTTCACAGCAACCAGAGATGTTGAAGCGAATGGTGGTCTACAATTCATCGATTTGTTCTAAAGGAAAGCACGTAAATAATCAGGGGCTTTTATCATAATTTCCTTGATTCTTTTCTGAATGCATTCTTTTGACATAGACATTCCACATGAAGTGGCTCTTCAATTACCTCCTTCCTTTTGTCAGCTATTTGTACTACTTTCGTTTTCAATTCTATACATTCCCTGAGTTCTACCTAGTGTGGCATGTGATTGTTTAATGATTTTGTATTATATACCAAACATCTTGCAGTCAGCTCTCCTTGCATTAGTGACAATTTGTCTTCGCCATTTTTTATTATTGATTTTGCCTCCAACTGAGTAACTCAAACTGTCCAAAACTGGAGTGACAAAAGCATGTCTAAATTTTATGTTTCCCCCTTGCCCTCATATCTGTGCAATTCTCAAAACAGTACAACAATGTGCAAGTCCTCAAAAACTCTCCCAGGGATGTTTCAAGTAATTTATTTTCAATATAAAAAGCAAGACTTGCATTTATATACCTCTTTCATAACCACTTGTTGTCTAAATGCATTGTGTAACCAATTCGATACATTTGTAATGTTGTCACTATTGTAATATAGGAATATATGTGTAACGTTTCATCAAATTGCCACATTTGTCAGACTATCAAAATGCTATGATATTGATTCAAGTCAGCAATAGTTGAAAGAAACTAGAAAAGACAAAAATCAGCAAGAGACATAGTAACTCACAATTTTTTAACTTTGTTCTGTTGTAATTGAAGTTTCAATAGTTACATGGAGCAGGTAAAAGCTTCGGATACATTATCTTTTCTCAAGCAAATTTCAGAATTAATTTCCTTTGTACTGCAATATTAGTAAAAAGTCAGTTTGTAAGTTTAGGCAAAATACATATCTTATTTCTTGTTAGAAAATGATTAGAGAATGATTTTCAATGAATATGTTATTAAATATATTGTATTCCTCAAAGTTTTTACTGGGTTATACAGAGGACACTGGTTCAGTACTTGGTCAGTATTGAACTAACCATTCCCTCCTGAGGACGTTGTGGAATTTCATGAGTTGTCCTCAGAACCACTGGGCCAGGTAGACTAGAACTAACTCGGGTTTCTGCTCCTGATCACGATTCAGTAATCCCCAGTTGAAAAGTGGATGTGTGTATAGGTAAAATGAGGAACAGCTTGGTTGTGAAGCTTCAATGTTTGAATAATATTTATCTTCAATTTGCCATCTGAATGAAAAATTGGATTGTGGTTTCATTGCCCTTTTAAAAAACGCTTCTGATTGTCAATAAAGTTTTTTAATTTTAAAAATCAACCCCATAACCATATTGTCATCCTGCCCTCCCTGTATCTCATACATATAAAGTCTCTTTGATCTCAATCACCATCTCCAGCTTCAACTGTGTATGTCCTCGAGGCCTTCCAATTACATCTCCTCTGTTAAACACTGGGAATAAAGCACATGTTAGCGATTAGTGAGTTATCAGCTTCCTGCCTGTCCACCATCCATCCCTTTATTCATTAACATAACTCTGCAGCTTTGATTTTCCCAACTTCTTGAAATTCTTTTCACCTTTCCTATAGCCTTTAATGTGGTAAACAGACTAGTCTTCTTCAATGCCTCTGTTCTGTTTTCCAGTTCATGGTGACTTATTGCACTTTTACCTTTTTATTTGTAATGACAGCACCTCAATAACTGCTTCTCACCTTGTCAGCTCCGAGAGCTCTATCCTTGATTTCCTCCTTTCAATCTTCTACATGCTGCTTCTTGTTTATATCATTTGCAGATGTAGATTCAACTTCCAAAAGTGTGCAAATAACACTTGCTTCCACCTCTCTACCACATCTGACTCTTCCTTTGCCTTTGTGATATGAGATGACACATCCAGCATTTTTAAGCCATAATTTCTTGAAAAGAAACATGAGGAAACTGATGCAAAATCAATATATTGCAGAGGCCATAAATCTGGAATAAAAGCACAAAATGCTAGAAGTACTCCGCATGTCAAGCAACATCTGTAAGGAGAGAAACAGCGTTATTGTTTCATGTCAGTGGTCTTTGAAAATATTTTCTGTTTATGTATTGCACGTCTGAAATTATAGCCTCTGATCCCACCCCAAATGGTGTGTTCTTTTTAATAACTCCACCCCATTCCTCATCCACTGTCTCTGCCTTTGTAAGGTTGTTTACAACTTTGACATTCTGTTCAACCCATACTAAGCACCTGAATCCGTATTCCCTCCAGCACAAAGATCACTCACTTCTACCTCAATAGCATCGCCAGCTTCCACCCTTATCTTAGCTTTTATGTAGCATGGGATAGTAGAAGCTGAAACTCTCAACCCATTTAAGAGGTGCCTTTATTCACACATCAGGTGCTGTGATTTCCAAGGCTATTGACCAAATTCTGAAAAGTGGGATTAGGCTGAGTGGCATGATTTTTTTCAGGAAGCATAGACACAATGCGCCTGGTGGCCTCTTTCTGTGCTGTAAACGTTTCTATGTTGACTAATAATTTGGCCACACCTCCTAATTGCTCCTTCATCGGGACAGCAGCTGGGCAAGAGCCATATAAATGCAAATTGTTGTTGTTCTTGAAGGAAGGTCAGCTGGGAGAGTTAATTGAAAGTAATTGATGCATAATTCAACAACTTCAAGGAAAGAAAAGACAAAGCTGGCATGCAAAACAAAACAAAACATTTTCAGTGCTCAGTAATTCCTGCCAAATCTCATGGAAAGAAAATGTTTTCATCTCAAGTGGTTCTTGCATATCAACAAAAATGCCATGCTTCGAAAATAACCTGATAATCAGTTCCCATGTGAAAGAGGTGAATACAATCTTAAAACATGATTGGCAGCAATAAACTCCGAAAAGAATGATTGAGGCAATTGGATGATCTCAATCAACTGGCTCTTTTTTTGTACATCAGCTGGCCCATCATAAGAGATGGAATAGTTACAAATGCATGTATTAAATAAAGCTTGCTTTGATTGTCAGGTGAAATTACAGCACACAGGGAAATAAGTGCAAGTGTTGCCTTAGATTGAAATACAGTGAAATAATATGTAATGTAATATAGAAATAATATGTAATGATATGTATAATTGCAAAAAAATAGTGTGATGGATAAACCAGAGGTAAACAATTGATCTGTCAGAATATTAATATGGAAGTTCAATTTTACTAAACCTGGGGGTTTAAGGCAAACAAAAATTAACACAATGACAGCATTAACATAGTGTGAAAAGTAATTTGTCATGGTTTCTTGTCACCACAGGGCTTCCAGAAGTACGTGGAGGACTTTGATCCTTATTCCATGGTAAGCTAATTACAAGTCAGAGATCAGTTACTACAGCAACAAAATGACAAACTACTTAGGGAAGGGGTAATTGAAGTGAGAAAGTCTTGAGAGGAGTTCTTTATGACTGAAATATATTCCAGCTATAGATTGATTCATCTAGTGCAAGGAGGAAATGTGTTATCGTAATGCTCATTATTCTGTTCATGTGTTCCTTGAAATGTGACTAAGTGACACAACAATGTCAGATTTCATGTGCTGGTTGTGAAGCAGATTGTGTTGGTTGTGGAATACTTTTGAACACCCAGATAATTAGCGTAATGTGCTTACATTGCAGTCAGACATTGAAGCACCTTGTGCATAATTTAGAACTTCTGATCAGCTGGATATTGACCATGTGGAGTTTGATCAACTTTAAAGCTGCCAGCATTAATCAACATTTTTAATTTTATATTTGTATCAATTGACAACATTAATACAACACAAAGACACCACTTGTGAAATCACTCTCATGAAACAGCCTTGCTACAGACCAGATAAAAACTGAAAGAATTACTAACGCTGTAAATCAGAAACAAAGACAGAAATTGCTGGAAAAGCTCAGTAGATCTGCTGGCATCTCGGAAAGAAATCAGAGTTAATGTTTTGGATCAAGTGACCCTTCCTCAGAAGTTTCTCAGTTCTGAGGAAGGGTCACCTGTCTCAGAATGTTGACCCTGATTTCTCTCCACAGATGCAAGTAGACCTGCTGGGCTTTTCCAGCAATTTCTGTTTTTGTTGGTGCAGACCAGTGTCGGTTTTGTAACAGCTGATCTACCTGATTAAGCACTGTAATAGCAGTGAGTAGGGTATATCCATTTCAAGAGAAAAAAACTGGAAGAAATCCCATTTCTTGACATTAAGCTAGTTGTTATCTTCAGGCAATGTCAACAAAGCACAGAAAATAGAATCCGCAAGCTTCAGATCTTGTTTGAGCAGATTTTAATCAACCCCAGTGCTTTGATCTTTCACAAGGATTGATATCATGACTCAGATTGTGTTCATTTTACTTTACCATTGTCCACAGATGTTTTCATGTTAAGTTACTGTGATGAGGAATATGTTTCTGTGAAACACCCTTGACAGGGAATTTGAGAACTACATGTGCAGGCATTTAACTATCTATATCGCTAACCAATCAGAATGAAAACATAGAAAATATAACAGCAGAGCACAGGAACGGTCCCTTTGTGTTGTGCCAAATATGATGCCAAATTAAGCTAATTGATCCATATCCCTCCTTTCCTCGCATAATCATGTGTTTATCTAAAAGTTCCTTAAATGCCCCTATCATTTTTGCCTCCACCACCACTGCTGGGAGTGCATTCCAGACTCCTACCACCCTCTGTATAAAAGAAATGCCCCTAACTTGCCCACTTGAACTCCCCCCCCCCCCCTCCACCCACCTTAAATGCATGCCCCTAGTATTAGACACTGCATCATCCTCTGACATTTCCGCCACCTACAATCAGACCCCACCATCAAAAAGATATTATCCTCCCCACCCCTGTCCACTTTCTGAAGGGACTGTTCATTTCATGACTCTCTCATCAGCTCTACACTCCCCACCAATTCCTCCATCACACCCGGTACCTTTCCCTGCCATTGCAAGAGGTGCAACACCTGCCCCACACCTCCTCTCTCACCTTCGCCCAAGGCCCCAAACAATCCTTCCAGATCCAGCAGAGATTCACCTGCACTTCATCCAACCTTATCTATTGCATCCGTTGCTCCTGACATGGTCTCCTCTATGTTGGGGAGACCAAATGCAGATTCAGAGGGTGGTTCACAGAGCATTTGCACTCTGCACACAACGACCAACCCGACCTTCTGGTTGCCATCCATTTTAATTCCCCCTTCTACTCCCCCGACAACATGTCTATCCTTGTCCTCCTCCACTGTCAGAGTGAGGCCAAACGTAAACTGGAGGAAAAACACCTGATATCTCGCCATGGAAGCTTACAGCCCACTGGCTGTAACATTGACTTCACCAGTTTCAAAATCCCTTCACCCCCAGCATTATCCCATGGCCAGCCCTCTCCCTCCTGACCTGACCCGACCTGACCACCTTCCCACTCACTTATCCACTCCACTCTTCCCACGGCCAATCACATTAACCCTCTACCTAAATCCACCTATCACCATCTCTCCTACCCTTCTCCCCAGCCTCACCACCCACCCATTTATTTCTGGGCTCCCCTCTTCCTCCCCAGTCCTGATGAAGGGTTTCGGCCCTTGGATGCTGTCTGACCTGCTGTGCTTTTCCAGCCTCACACCTATAGACTCTGGCTTCAGCATCTGCAGTCCTTATTGTCTCTGAGTTAATAGAAGTGAATTGATTCAGTCCTCCTGACCTGATTGTGACATGACCAATGATGCCAGTGAGCAAAACAAAGACTCATATGATACAATCTTAAGTCCAGCATTTGAAAGGTCACTTTGAAGTTGGGATTTGAAGGAGTTCAAAGTGTGATACATCAGGAAAGGAAGTTTCATAGTGGATTGCCAAATGGCAAAGTTTGCTTGGTTGAATAATGCCTTCCTCGATGCACAGTTGGAGACTGGGAGGCATTGCACAGAGTCACGTTTGCTCCTGACAAAAGGAAGACTTGCAATAGAACCTTCCTGGCATGCCTAGACATTGTACATTGCCTGCAGGAACATGATGCCAGGCTGATGGATTCAATGCATAAAGCACTTTAATGATCTCGTAGATTAAGAAAGGTGAGTACTGTTTCACATTCTCTTGCATCCACAATGTACCACGTCCACAAACTTTCACACCCTCCACACTGACACACAGTAACAGCTGTGTGTACCATCTATAAGATGCACTGCAGAAATTCACCAAGGCTCCTCAGTTAGTACCTTCCAGACTCACGACTACTTCCACCTTTAAAGACAAGGGCAGCAGATCCATCGGAACACCACCACCTGCAAGTTCCCCTCTGAGTCATTCACCATCCAGACTAGGAAATATGTTGCTGTTCCTCAAGGAAGTGACACCCACATCCCATATACTTTTTAAAAAGCACTTTTCTCAAACCCTCACTCATCCTTCTCACATCTAATTAATCACATCACTCCTCACTCCCACTTAAGCTTGCGCATTCATCTATCCTTTTCTTTCTGATAACTCCCTCATAACCCCATCTATTGCTTGCCCTCCTTATGTAATGTCATAGCTGTTGCCAACACTCTTGCCTATTAGTTAACATGTTTTGTAGAGATGGTAGAATATTGTAAAGCTACAGGCCTAGTAATCCTGAGGTTCAGACTAATGCTTGGAAGATGTGACTTCAAATCTTAACATGGAAACTTAGTTAAGCACTGGAGCAAAATGCTGGTCTTACTCATAAAGATAACGAAATTACTGGATTGTTATTGAAAAGAATCTATCTGCTTCAATAATGTCTTTCAAGGATGAAAATTTGTCAGCCTTATCTGCTGTTGCCTATGTGTGATTTCTTTGCCACTGCAATGTGATTCCCTCTTACCTAACCTCTGAAATGGTACAGCAAGCCATCAAGTTGTAAGAAACCACTACAGAATAAAGCATTTTGGATGTACCCAGGCCATAAGGGCTGCAGACATTCAGGAAGATTTTAGGTGCTATATGACAGTCATTCGATAGCTTAGGAAGGTCTTGCTTTTTGGAGACAAAGTGGGAAGCTTACCAATACTCTTACCAATATGTTGAGCACACTTGGGGCTCCCCAGGTTTTCCTTTAGTTAACCTCTGTCTAAAAGTTTTGTCAACCTGTGTCGAAACCTTTTGATTTTGGCAAGGTGGTAGCTATGTTTATTGCGAGAGGATGTGCACGTATTATTAGCTAAAGAAAAAACAACTGTGGATTTTCTGCTTTCTTTAAATTTTGATTATGAGTTCCCATATATTAATATCTAACTGAACAAAAGCAGTTATTAAAAGTTTGAATCAAGATGATTCTGATTTATACTTGATAATAAAATGACAGCTGTCTGACATTTTTGCTTTTATAGACCAGAAAAAAATACACAAACTGATGAACAAACACATCTGCAGTTTAAAAATAAATCATGTGCAGCTAATGACACATAGAAGTAGTCATTTTTACCCCTTGTAAATAACAAATTAAGAAGCTCTCAGACAAGGGCGGCACAGTGGCACAGTGGTTAGCATTGCTGCCTCATAGCCCCAGGGACCTGGGTTCAATTCTAGCCTCAGGCGACTGTCTGTGTGGAGTTTGCACATTCTCCCTGTGTCTGCGTGGGTTTCCTTTGGGTGCTCCGGTTTCCTCCCACGGTTCAAAAATGTGCAGGTTAGGTGGATTGGCCATGCTAAATTGCCCATAGTGTTCAGGGAGGTATAGATGAGGTGGGTTATAGGGGGATGGGTCTGGGTGGGATGCTCTGAGGTTCAATGTGGACTTGTTGGACCATAGGGCCTGTTTCCACACTGTAGTGATTCTATGAACTCTCCTGTGACACACTTGGAGACTGATTAATATGGTTTGCAATTGTTTATGTGCTCCCTGTTCCTATAAATAAATGTGTTGTTGCTTGGTGAAGGAGTTCAGTCCATTTAAGTATTTTTTCATGTTTATTATAGCAGGAAGTCCCATGTTCATTTGGTGTTTTATGCTGACTTTGCTCATAAGAGAGGTAATAGCTGCAGAAGCAGACTGGTTCTCAACACTTCTCGATAATGGGGAGGTAAAATCAGACACATGGGAAAATTAGCAATGGTGATTGGCTATTATTCACTGGCACCTGCTGGAAAATTTATGCATGGATGTCAAATGATTACTGGAAGCAAAATGTAGCATGAAGAATGTCTTTAATCTGATTTGGCAAAAGCCCTGTATTTGCTTTTGATTCATCCATTTATTTCATCGTTTCTGGAAAGGAAAATGAATCTGAAGTTCAATGTGCAATATACTGCTGGGTTCCATTCAATGTGTGAGAGTAGAGGAACATTTGGAGAAATGTATTTGAATTATGGAGAAAGCTCCCATTGTGTTAAAAACATGTTTTGACATTGTTTCAAACACTGCAAGAAAATAATGTGTTAAACCATTCAATTCAGATTCATTTCCTTAAACATTAACAACTAAATTGCTTGATACAAGCCTAAGTTAGTTACATTAAAATGTGTCACTAATGAAAAGATTTTATGATGGCACTCTGCTTAACAAACAATTCTTCATGTCACAGTCATCACCCATTTTGATATTATCCGTTTAGTGTTCAGTGATAATCATGCAAACCAACTGTTGTATTCTGGTATAGATTCTAGACAAGATAGGCCTGTATTTTTTAGACAGTTACTTAACATCACAACATGTGATATACCAGAGTAAAGTCATTCTGCCTGTGTAATGGATTGTGTAGTCAATCAGCTTTGTATAATGTACAGTATCATTAGTAATCACAGAGTTCAGATTATGTGTGTACATCTATGATATTATAGTAAAGCAAATGGTGCCATTAATAAATTCAAGATATATGACTCAACAGGAACCCAATTGTTGCTACTGTATGTCACATGAGCTAACATAGCGAAAACCACAAACTAGCAGTGTTTTATATTGCAATGACACCAGTATTTTGAGGTCCACACTATTACCTCAGTTAACATTCAGTGAGGGCTAAATTCCTTTCCACTTAGTTTAACAGCTTATGCTATCACTAGTGGAGTTCCCAACTACTCCACTAATACCGTTATCCCTATTCTCAAAGGTCAGTAACCTGTTCTGGTGCAGTAGCTACCAAATTCTGCTTGAAGTAAGACATGGTGAGGATGGATTGCATGGTAATGAAAGTAAATGTATAGATGCCAGTGAAGTGGAAGGAATGATGGCAGTGAAAAACAAATTACATCTCCTTTATTGTATACCGGATTGAAAATAAGTTTCAATCCTCATTATCCAAGTTAGTCGTTCATTTTAAGAGCTCTGGTAAAGCCAGAATAAAAAGAGTGAACGGTAATGGAAATGGAATGTAATAAAAGAGAGTGGATGTTGAAATACTGAGGAATGGATCATAGTGAAAGAAGGGTGAATAACAATAAATGAAGAGTAATGACATTGAAAAAAAAACAGATGATAATGGAGAGGGTAAAGTGAGGAGTTTTGAAAAGGTGGATCGAATAATGATAGGAAGTTGTAGCAATGAAGGAGAGGAGCTGAATCTCAGTGAACAAAGGAATGGGAAACAGTAAAATCAAAGAGAGATGGAAGACAATGGGTGACAATGAAGGGAGGAGCTGAATAGTAAGTGTAGGAAGGAGGAGACGTATTACAATAAAAGGAAGATTTTTTAAAATATTTTTCCATTTGTTGTTGGTGTCACTGGCAAGCGCACATACCTCCCTGAATGACTGCAGTCCATTTGTTTGGTGCACCTGCAGTGCTGTTAGGAAATTAACAGTAACAGAAGAGTTACCAATTAGCACAAACCAAGAGTGACACACAGGATGTGGGAGGAAAGAAAGGGCTACAGTGAGAGGAAGTGGTGAAGAAGTATATTAATTTGAACTGCTGAATGGGAGGTTACCTTCAATGTACAAAGGTGGTGGAATTAGTCTGACTGCATTGACAAGAAATATGAGTGTTATATTGAATTGAAAGGGGTGCATGGAAAATGTCAGAATGAACTCTGCAGTATTGAAAGAGAGCACTACCTATAGTTACATAACATGCCCAAAGATTGCTGGACCCAGTTGATGCAAACAGTTTAATTTCAGTGGCAGAGATAGTAGGAACTGCAGATGCTGGAGAATCTGAGATAACAAGGTATAGAGCTGGATGAACACAGCAGGCCAAGCAGCATC